GGAGCCAGTTTAAAAAATTAACTATATTTAAACAATGCATCTATAACAAATCTATAATACATCACTATAATAAAATCAATGCATCTTATGTTACAGAATAAGGAAATGAGAAGAAAGCAAGCTACACACACACAAAATGGAGTCATAGCAAAATATGGAGGACATACTTATGACAATCGCAGTCTGTGTTTCTGTAACTGGTCATATGATCAAAGTCAGTATTTCTTCCACCACTTATTCTGCATTCCCTTTGCCTTCAGCAAGCACTTCATCTGGTCATGGTACTTACCTGGTGGTGACCCAAACCTTTATTCCTGAAAGGTCTGGGTCATTAGTGGTCCTGTCTGAATTAAGTTGTAGTTTTCCACTGACCTTAATCACAGGGCATGGTAACACTAAGAGAAGTCCTAAGGAATCTCACATATTCCCAACATACTTTTCCTTACCACCATTTGGAGGTAGTCCAGTTTCTACTTGGTAGTCGGGAACAATCACCCAGCCAGCACTGTAACTCATTTGTCTATTGAGTTAGAGGCATGAGAAGCCCGAAGTGGCTGAGGAGCAGTCTTCAACTTCCAGTTCAATTAAATCATGATTGTACCTCTCAATGGAAAACATGCCACCCTATGGAAGACCTCTAGGCCAGCAGAGCATAAGTCATGACAACAGGAAGCAAAAATTTTGCTAGTGGGTCACTAGGGCTAATAGCGAACAGTGTCCCTCCTATTTTGACCCCTTGATTCCTGGACCTGTGAATCCCAGTCATAAGAGAAATGCACCATATACTGGATGTTGACTCAGAGAGTAGACAGCCTTCCACAGAACCTTGTCCCAGCCCTACAAGACACTGCTGTATAGCTGGTGCTATTACTGTCTTCAAAATACCATTCCACTGCTCTATGTAGCCAGTTGATTCAGGATAGTAGGGAACATTGTAAGAAAATTCCATGAGCATGGGCCCACTGCCACACTTTTGCTGTGAACTGAGTTCCTTGTAATGCTGTGTGGAATACCATGGTCATAGATGAGAGATTCTGTAAGTCCATGGATGGCAGTTTTAGTAGAAGCACTGCGCGAAGGGAAAGCAAATCTGTATCCAGAGTAAGATCTATTTCAGTATGGACAAAACACTATCCTTTCAACGATGGAGGTGGATCACTGTAATTAACCTGCCACTAGGCAGCTGACTGCTGACTCTGGGAAATGGTGTCATATCAGGGGCTCAGTGTTGGTCTCTGCTGCTAGCAGACGGGGCATTCAGAGATAGCCTTGGCCAGGTCAGCCTTGGTGACTAGAAGTCCACGTTGCTGAGCCCATGCATAATCTCTATTCTTGTTACCATGGCTACTTTGTTCATGAAACAATTGGGTGATGACAGGGGTGGCTGGAGAAAGAGGCCTACTAGTATCCATAGAACAGGTTATCTTGTCTACTTTATTAAAATCTTTCTTTGCTAACCCTTTGGTGAGCATTCACATGGGGCACAAATATCTTCGCCCTTTTTGCCCATTCAGTGTCTATCCATATACTTCATCTCCAAATTTCTTTGTCACCAATTTTCCAGTTATGTTGAACTCCCTGATCATCCTGCCAAACCACTGGCCATAGCCTACGAATTAGCATATAATTGAATATCTGGCCATTTTTCCTTCTAAGCAAAGTCAACAAGGGGGACTGCTCAAAGTTCTTTCTACTGGGAGGATTTCCCTTCACCACTGTCCTTCAAGGTAGCCCAGAGGTGAGGTGAGTGCTGCAGCTGTCCACTTTTGGGTGGTACCTGCATATCATATAGAAGCCTCTGTAAACCAGGCCTAAGTCTTCTCTTTCTCTGTCAGCTGGTCGTAGGGAAGTCCCCATGAAGCCACAGATGCAGGCTGGAAGAGAGAAGGCAGGTAGCAGAAGCAGGGACTATGGAAATTTGGCCTACTTCTTCATGTAACTTCCTTGTGCCTTCAGGGCCTGCTCAGGCCCAATCACGTGTATACCATTTCCATCTGATGGCGGAGTGTTGCTGGGCATATCCAACTTTGTGCGTTGGTGGCTCAGATAACATCCAGTTCATGGTAGGCAGCTCAGGTTGCATGGTAACTTGGTGGCTCAAGAAGTATCCGTCTCTACTAAGGCCTAGTAGCAGGCCAAGAGCTGTTTCTCAGAAAGAGACTAGCTATTTGTTGGTGATGGCAGGACTTTGCTCTAAAATCCTAAACCAAGATTCACCTACAGGGACCTGCCAGAAGCTTCAAACAGCATCCCTATCTGCCACTGCCACTTGAACACCACTGGATCTGCTGGCTCATATGACCCAAGTGGCGGAGTAGCTTTCACAGCAGCCTGGACTTGTTGCAGAGACTTTTCTTGTTCTGGGCCCTACTCAAAACTAGCAGCTTTTTGAGTCAATTGGTAAATGGGCTGAAGTAACTTAATGAAATTGGAAAATGTTGCCTCCAAAACCCAAAGAGGCCCACTAAGTATTGTGCCTCTTTCTGGGTTGTAAGAGCAGCAAGATGCAAGTACTTATCCTTCACCTTAGAAGAAATATCCCAACATGCCCCATGTCACTGTATCCCTACCAGTTTCACTACGGTAGAAGGTCCTTGAAATGCAGTCATATTTATTTCCTACCCTCTGATGCAAATGTCTTTCCACTAAGTCTAGTGTAGTTTCTACTTCTTGCTCACTAGGTCAAATCAGCATAATGTCATCAATATAATGAATTAGTGTAATATTTTGTGGAAGGGAAAGGTAATCAAGAGCCCCATGAACTGAATTATGACATAGAGTTGGAGAACTGATACACACCGGATATACAACAATGAAGGTGTGTTGGGGGCCCTGCCATCTGAAAGCAAACTGCCTTTATGGACTGGTATGAAAAAAAAGACATTTGCCAGATAAATTCCATTGCCTTACCAAATAATGGTGAAATAAATATTTCATACATAACTTTTATATTTAAAATGCAAATTATAAATATAATATACATATTTACCTGTACTTTTGCAAATAATTATATGGGCCTGACTGGAAGGGAGTGTTCCACCTTCCTACCTTTTGAAGGAGCAGTAAAGTTGAATCTAAGTTTCATCGTTTTCTAGTGTGTAACCTTGGGTAAATTAGTAATCTTGTTTGTGAATTACTTTCCTCCTTTATCTGTAAAATTAGGAAAAGAATAGTTCCATATGTACAATTAGAAAAATAATAACTGGATAAAAAATGTTTTTGTAATAATAAAAAAATATTTTTATCCACTGTTAGGAATGAGGAAGTATATTTAAAGTTTTGAGAACATTGCTCTGCATATATCAAGGGCTTAATAATAGTTATTACTATTAGTACAATGCTTAAATTGAAAGAGGTGGGTAGCTTTTATACTCAGATGATTTATAAATTGTATTCATCAATTTATTTGATATACAAAACAATGTATATCAAATAAATGTCTATTAAAGTGAACTTAGTCTTCAACTAAATAGGAGCACTTCGTATTTTCAAAGTGTTGCTGGTGATTCTAATCAGAGTGAATGGCTTGCTTTGCAGTCACAGCCTACTTTAGGCTCAGCAGAAACATTAATTGTCCTTGTTATTATAGCAAGTGATCAGTTTTTTAGTTGCTTGGCTCCAATCTCTGCCCTATGTCTTTCTCTTTGGATGACAAGAGCCAATGATGGTGTGGGACAAACTGAATAGTGACATTGCACAGTGAGAGTGGAAGAAGTAGCTTATTTCTTTCAGGCATATTGAGAAAAGAAAACCTTCCTTATAAATAAATAAAACTCAGAAGACTGAACTAAGAAAATGGAGAAGAAAGAAAAAAAGAAAAGGAAAGGTAAGGAAAAGAGAGAAAGAAGGAAGGATGGACGTGAGGAAGAAAAAAATGAAGAAGAGAGAGAGACAGAAGAGAAAAGAAAGAAAAAAAGAAGAAAGAAAGAAGAAAGAAAGGAAGAAAGAAAGAAGAGAAAGAAGATAACAGGGGAAGAAGAAGAAGGAAGGAAGAAAGAGAGAGAAAGACGGCAAAGGGGAAAATAAGGAAGAGAAAGAGCAGAGAAAGAAAAGAAAGAAAAAAGAAAGAAAGAAGAGAGAAAAGAAACGGACAGTAGAAAAAGACAGAGAAAGAGAAAAGAGAGAACAGAAGAAATGGAAGGAAGAAGAAACGAAAGAACGAGAAACGACGCGGGGAGGACGAAGGAAGGGAAGCAACAGAAAGAGAAAGAAATGAAAAAAAAAGAAGGAAGGAGAGAAGGCGAAGAACGGAGGAAGGGAGGGAGGAGAAGAAAGAAGAGAGAGAGAAGGAAGCGAAGGAAGGAAGGCAGAGAGGAAGGAAGGAAGGAAGAAGAAGGGAGCGGAAGGGAGGGAGGGAAAGAAAACGGATGGAAGGAAGGAAAAAAGAACAGAGAAAAGAAAGAGAGAGAAAAAGAAAGAAGAAAGAAGAAAGAAAAGGAAAGGAAACGGAAAAAGAAAGGAAGGAAGCCAAGCCAAAGAAACTAGCAAATTCATGCTGATTTGAAGGGCTGAGGATCTGTTACGTACTTCAAGCAAAACAATCACCTCGAAAAGTGTCACAGAAAAGAGAAAAAGATTATATTTCAATTAAATTATAAAGCCAATCTGAACAAAGATAAAAATCTATACAATAAATAACTTTCATGATAGAACTCCAGACGACTATAAAGTACAGCAAATTGTCCAAGGCAGCATGAACGACTAGAGCGGTAGAGACAAAATTCATAACCTGAGCTGAGTTTAGAAAAAAATTAGCGATTCTTTATGTAACTTGAATATTAGGTTATAAATGAGGCGCAAAAGACGAAGATAACACTTTTAAAATACAGAAAATCTTTACACCCTGAAACCTCTCTTCCTCTTCAACATGAATTTATGCCTTTATTACAGCTTATTGTCAGTGATTAATTGTTTTAAGTGATCATTAAATGCCAAGGTTATCCTTATAAACTCATAGCATTTTACCCTATTAACTTTTGATTCTTCAGCAACATAAATGCTTAACGAATCAAATTGGTCTGTATTAACCTGGTTGTTTTTTTAATGTAACAATAGAATAATCTCTTGGTGAAGGAGATCCTGGAACCAGGGGGAAAAACCTGTCCATGACTCTCCCGACCATTTTCTGTCACCGTGGCCAGCCCAAAAGCTGCTCTATTCCCGCGTGACTTTCCTACCTGTCAGAACAGATTAGACAAGAATGTTCTTTTTTTTTTCTTTTGCAGACACAGATGTCTTGCTGTGCGTCCCACACTGAGTGCAGTGGGCCGATCTCAGCTCACTGCAAGCTCCGCCTACCGGGTCGACGCCATTCTCCTGCCTAGCCTCCCGATACTGCGCCTACACAGGTGCCACCACCACCACCCGGCCTTTTTTTATTTGACGATAAGACGGGGTTTCACTGTGTTAGCCAGGATGATCTCAATCTCCTGACCTCGTGATCCCCCCACCTTGGCCTCCCAAAGTGCTGGGATTACAGGTGTGAGCCACTGCACCCGGCCAATTTTCTAAATTTTTTGTAGAAAAGGGGGCTGTCACTATGTTGCCCAGGCTGGTCAAGAACTTCTGGCCTCATGTGATCCTCCCACGTCAGCCTCCCAAAGTGCTGGAGTTATAGGCATGAGCCACCAAGACTGCTCTATTGTACATTATTTTTAAGATTAAAGAATGTTTTGAAGATGTCCCTCAGAAGTTACTTTAACCCTACACAACTAATTTCTTCCTATTTCCTTTTGAGTCCTTTGTCCATATTTTAGTTTAAATTATTTTTACACAATAATGTCTGCTAGTCATTCATTTAATATAACATGTATTTCCTCATTAAAAATAATTGCTTTATAGCTATAACCTTATGCACATATACCTTTATGAAGAAGAGAAATGTTCACATTCCTGCTTTTAAAAAGCAGGTCGAACAGAGCTTGAAGAAAAAGAAAAAAAAAGCCACACTTTTTGATTTTACTGTTTTGTTTGTCTGCCTTTGCCTATCTTCGACACCACAGGTTTTTCTTTTTTGCCATGTTTTACAAAGACCGGATATATTCTATACGCTTACTTACATCTTGCTTTTCTCATTCAACAATACCTTATGAAAATCTCTTCATATTATTTGATATAGTTCTAATTCATTCTTTCTTTCTTTTTTTTTTTTTTTTTTTTGCTATTAAACATGCCACATTATTTTTAATTACATACAAAAACCTAACGTGTCACCCAGGGACCATTTCTCCCACTGCTCTGTTTGGCCGCCAGTCTCTTTCTCTCTTCAGCAGTGGTGAGGTGGATACCCTTTCCTCAGGGAAGAGAAATCCACAGTTTGTTGTTCTTGCCAATAAGAAAAATGTTGGAAAGTCGAGTGGCAAATCTGTTGCCATTGGCATCTTTCAGGTGAACCCATCAAAAGATCCAGGGTTGGGGATCACACCAATTCTACCCAGGTTAGCACCTCCAGTCACCATACACAGGTGACCAGTGTCAAATTTGTTGAAATCAGTAATCTTGCCAGTCTCCAAATCAATCTGAACGGTGTCATTCACCTTGATGAGGGGATCAGGGTAGCAGATGGTGCAAGCATCATGAGTCACCAGATGAGGGATTCCTTTTGTGCTCACAAAGATTCTTTTCACTTTGCACAACTTGTACTTGGCCTCCTCAGGTGTAATATGATGTACAGCAAAGTGACCCTTGGTGTCACAGATCAGACAGAAATTCTCTGCCATCTTGTCAATGCTGATGACATCAACAAGGATTCTGACGATTAAAGATCATGGCCAGATCATCTTCAATGTTTCAAAACCCTGTTTTTATGACTCCACATACAATTTAAAAGTGAATTGAGGCCGGGTGTGGTGGTTCATGCTTGTAATCTCAGGATTTTGGGAGGCCAAGGCAGGCAGATTACCTGAAGTCAGGAGTTCAAGACCAGCCTGGCCAACATGGTGAAACCCCCTCTCTACTTCTAATTCATTCTTTTAAGGGCTATATAATATTTCCTAGAAGAAAAGTATCGCATCTTAGTTGGCTATTGATGGGCATTCACTATGTCCATTTGCTTAATTTTTTTGACTCTAATCATTCCCACACCTATCATAAGCTTCTCAACACAATTTTCCACAAAGTTAATCATATTAGGAAATGTATCATTTCCTCTGGTTTTAAGACTTTCCTCCTGGAGACTTCCTTTTCCTGGCATTCTCTCTACTTTTCTCCTGGGTTATATTCCCCATTTGTGCTGTTGGCACAAACCAACATCTTAATTCATGTTTCTGGATATATCAGTAAGTATACCCACAGCTTATTATAAATACAAACTCCTATTATTTGTATATTATGTTTCCTGGATCTAATCTCTGAGTCTTGTCTCTTTTACCTTTGTGAATTCTTCTCTGTATCTTTACGCTCTGTGCACTGAAATCTTTTTTTCATTGCGTTTCCAGACCACTGATTCAGGTCTTGACAGTGACCACATTCTCTTTTAATTCACTGCCTGATGTTTTACTGTGTAAAACGTATTTTTAAGCTCCAAGACATCTTTGTTGTGTTGTATTTTATCCTGCTTTCTAGCTAATTGCCCAGCTCATGAGAATATGACAGGTTTTCTTTCCGTTGGGAAAGCAAAAAAGCCCAAGGCATTGCCTGCACTCAATCATGTATACGTCCCAGCAGCTGTAAGGCTCCGAAGCATGTGGCTTAGGGCTAGAAACATGAAGAAAGGAAACCCATTCAGGTCACCATGTTCCCAGAATCTCCTTTTCATTGATTAATCTTCCCACTAGTTGGATAGTGCTTTCCTAAAGAGCTTTAAGAAGCTGCATTTCTCTCAACGGCTGCTCACCTTCTGAATTCCCTGTCATATGAGTTCATATGTCAGCACAGCAATAGCTTTTTCGCTGTTTAACTGCCATTAGTAGCAATGGCAGCCAAATGGATCCTTCCCATCTTGGCGTTGAGGTGAATATAATGTTTACTAGCCTTGCCAGAGAATAATTATCAAAGAATTAAAAAAGCATAATAATTAAAGGAAAGCTAGTCTTAGCCCATTATTAAACTTTGACCATTCCTGGGAAAAGGTTAACACGATTTACCTATTCATTACCGAGATTTTAAAAAATAATATACTTCAAGATTATTTGTTTTCCCTATCTGAAATGAGAATTGGTTCCACTCTTTCACTTTTTGGAAATACTTGTGAAAGGAGGAAACCAGAAACTTTCAGAAGGAATTCCTATGTGAATTTAAGATTGATTAAAAAAAATTTTTTTTTTTTTTTTTTTGAGACAGAGTCTCACTCTGTCAGCCAGGCTGGAGTACACTGGCCGATCTCGGCTCATTGCAACATCTGTCTTCCAGGCTCAAGCAATTCTCCTGTGACAGTCTCCCAAATAGCTGGGATTACAGGTGTGTGCCACCAGGCCCGGCTAATTTTTGTATTTTTAGTAGAGACGGGGTTTCACCATGTTGGCCAGGCTGGTCTTGAACCCTTGACCTCAGTAATCTGCCGCCTCGGCCTCCCAAAGTGCTGGGATTACAGGCGTGGGCCACTGTGCCCGGCAGGTTAAAACATTTTGTTCTGCAAATTTTTTATTCATGATAAAGGATATGTGTAATATATATGTACATGTATATTCGAATATATGAATATAAACACCATGGCCTGATACGAATGTGATTTTTAGTGACAGATATGTGTCACAGTTTGTATTTCCATCATTTAAGGTTCCTTTCCTAGGTCTATTAATAGGACTCAATTACTGACAATTAGGAGTAAAATCAGAGCAGTCTGTGATAGCAGCAGCTGATCGATGTCATAGGGTGACATTCATTTGAATTTACAAACAAAGTAATTGAAAATATTAATAATTAAATTTTGTTGTATGTTTTACCTCTTCAGGTGGAGTCACTACATAGGGGGGATTGAACACCAGAAGATCAACTTTTTCCTTCAATCTTGGTAGCAAGCCTTTGACCTAAATGTATTCAACAATAGTGAGAATTTTACATTAAACTCTGAATTAAATAATTGACAAATCAATCTTTAAAAATAATCTTCCATGTTTTTGGGAAAATAATGTGTTAGGGCCTGCACTTGTAGAGAGAAACGAAGTTAAGTATTTTTACGTTTTCATTCAGAAAAATAATATAGGCTATTAAGTAAAAATAAGGAAATTAAACTATCAGAATGAATATTAAAAAGCCTGTACTCCTCAACAGCACATATATTTATATTCTGGGTTCACTTTTAGAAAATGAAATAAGAAAGCAAACTCTAATTCTGTATAATCTGTATAGACTTGGATGTAAGTTTACAACTATATTTGCTAACATTTTCACAATTTTTCCCATATCTGTACAGATACCTACCATCATTTACAGGATAATGTTCTATAGTTTCTTCTATCTCTGGTGTTTCACCATTCTATCAAAAACACTTACTTAACACTAATTATGGAAACATTAAAGAAATTTTTAGGCCAGGCATGGTGGCTCATGCCTGTTATCCCAGTACTTTGGGAGGCCGAGGCAGGCGGATCACTTGAGGTCAGGAGTTCGAGACCAGCCTGGCCAACCCATGGACAACATGATGAAACGCAGTCTCTACTAAAAATACAAAAAACTAGCCAGGCGCAGTGGTGGGTGCCTGTAATCCCAGCTACTCGGGAGGCTGAGGCAGGATAATTGCTTGAATCCAGGAGGCGGAGTTTGCAGTGAGCCAAGACTGCGCCACTACACTCCAGCCTGGGCGGCAGAGTGAGACTCTGTCTCAAAAAAAAAAAAGAAGAAAAAAAGAGAAAGAAAAAAAGAAAGAAATTTTTAAAATACAAAAAAAAAATCACCACATTGATCTCATGCAAATTACCGGAGTACCTTTTTGATACCCTAGCTTTTATTAGCAGTAACAACTTCTAATAATATAAAATAATTTCTTATCTCTTTGACTTAATTCCTTCTAAGCTACAAAATCATTTACAAATTAAAAAAAAAAAGCAAACAGGAAAGCTACCTACGCTCATCCGTGTAAGAAAAGTGTAGGTTAAGGAGCACAGAAGTATTTTGTATTTCATATGTCTACCTGGTGCATACTATTATTATTTTTGCCTATAAAAAGGTATTTCACATACATAAATTAAAAACCCACAAATTTAAAACTGCCACTTGAAAATGTGTGCTGTTAACTTCTTAAAACAATGGTTGTGCAGTTGTCATTTGTTGTTTTTACCTTCTGAGGACCCACTGCCCCTTTCTTCTGATTTAACTTCCTTGACTTTTGTTAGGGAAGCTCTACCTCCCATCATTCTCTATCTAAGTGGCCTGAGTAGGGTTTATGCCAACTCAGCTCCTGGGATGGGACTAGGAGCCAGGTTGAAGCCAATCATCTCCATATTCAAATCTCCTCTGACCACAGCAAAAGGTTGACAGATAGGCACATAACCCAAGTTGATCCAGATAATACTCATTCTGGGACCTCTTCTACAGTAATTGAATAGAAAGGGCCTCTTTCCTCGGGAAGGTGTTGAGAAATAAGATACAGATATGGAAACATCCTGTTATCATGAAGGGAAAGACTACCTAGGAATAGAGCCACCAGAGAGAAGTTCAGAGATAAGAAAAAGACATCTATAATATTCTTAAGAGTTCCTGGAAGTAGCTGTGCTGAAGCCATCAAATTTTTGTTTTGTTTTTTTTTTTTGAGACAGGGCCTTGTTCTGTTCCCCAGGCTGGAGTGCAGTGGCACAATCATGGCTCAAGGCAGCCTCAACCTCCCAGGGTCAAGCGATCCTCCCACCTCAGCCTCCCAAGTAGCTGGCACCATAGGTGTGCACAACCACATCCAGCTTTTTTTTTTTAATTTTTATTTTTGTAGAGACGAAGTCTCACTATATCGTACAAGCTGGTCTCGAACTCCTGGGCTCAAGCAATCATCCTGCCTTGGCATCCCAGAGTACTGGGACTAAAGGTGTGAGCCTTTGCACACACTAACTTTAGCCTTTGCACTAACTAACTGGACTAACTTTTTAAATTTAAGCCAGTTTGAACAGGGTTCACTATAACTTCTGACTGAAAGAGGTCTGATCTATATAAGTTAATATAAATTCCTTTTGAATTGTGGAAAAGATGGATTACATCAACGAAGAATTTACTTTGTATAGGGTATACTGCTTAGTGGGTCAAAAGTCAATTACTTACCAAAGTTTCTTTGACCTAAAACATCTTAACCTTATTTGAAAAGAAAATTATTATTGGACAAAGATTAGCTTACCAAATCTGTAATAACTGGTTGAACGTGGACTTTGTTACAGCGTGCTGTCTCTAGGGTACAAGCTGCTGCCTCAGGGTTGATATCAGTGCACCTATAAACAGAAATGGAAGGAAACTATCCTATGTCTATAAGGCAAATCTGTTTCTGAGTAATTTCAAGGAATGTTCCATTAATTCTACACAGAACAGATTTAGAAAAAAAAATTAGAATGTATTCAATAATGGCAAATAAGAAGAAAACAAGGATTTGTTCTACTGATGAAAAAGACTGTTATATTGATACAATGTCCAAGAGTAGAATACACATACATGCACACACATCTGAAGGAATTTATGAAATTATGATACATCCAACGAAGGAGTACTATGCAGCCACCAAAAATGAAATTTAAAGGGAATTTTTGATAGGAAAATGTTTATGAGACAAAATTAAATTAAAAACACAGGAAATGGGCCAGGCGCGGTGGTTCATGCCTGTAATCCCAGCACTTTGGGAGGCCGAGGCAGGCGGATCACCAGGTCAGGAGATCGAGACCATCCTGCCTAACATGGTGAAACCCCATCTCTACTATAAATACAAAAAAAAAATTAGCTGGGCATGGTGGCAGGTGCCTGTAGTCCCAGCTACTCAGGAGGCTGAGGCAGGAGAATGGCAAGAACCCAGGAGGCCGAGGTTGCAGTGAGCCAAGATCACGCCACTGAACTCCATGCTGGGCGACAGAGCGAGACTTTGTCTCAAAAAAAAAAAAAAAAAAAAACAAAGAAAAGGAAAAAAAAAAAAAAAAAAAAGAAAAAGAAAAAAAAAAAAAAAAAAACACAGGAAATGGAAAAAAAAAAAGAAACAGAAGGAAACTCAGTTGGACCATGTATGGTAAAATTTATAGGTGATTTTAATTTTCTTCTTTATACTTTTCTATATTCTCCAATTTTCTGTAAATTTAAGCAACTTTAAATTTCTTATATCAAATTATTTACCTAAGAAATAAATCAAATTTAGAGACGATCTAAAATTATGCTGCTTCTACAATTATGCAGTATGATGGAGCAGTTTGAACATGAATAATTTTTAGGGAAGCATAGTTTGTAATCTGAGTTTTTGCTATGCTTAAATACTATAAGATACATACTGTCTATTTAAAAATTATTTCATTAGAGTTATCATGGTTAACCTGTCAGTGGAAGATCTAGATGAATATGATATACTTACATGTACAAAGCCTGAGGACCTATCATAGAGGCTAGGAATGCAGATACTACACCAGACCCTGCCCCTACTTCTAGGCATATTTCCACTCTAAAAAAAAACAAAATAAATATTAGTACAGTAGAATCAAAATACTTTTCACAGAAAACTCTCATGCTAGCTTTATTTCTAGCACGTATATTTCTCTAGCATCATCACTAACCTGCAAATATATGAAAATAGAAATTTGTAATTTCTGACAACTACTTCATACTTAATACTGCATAACTCAAAATTACTAATATTTTGGGTATGTAATATAATTTAAGTCTACAAAAGTTATATATTACCAAACATGGCTTTCAGTTAATTTCGACAAACCATTACATTAAAAAGTATGGAAAAACATTAATCCAGGGTTGGAAATCTTAATGTGAAAGATACCATTCCTTCGCACAAGGAGCTCCTAGCTTAGTATTTCCTAAAATGATAAGGTTTGTATTATTACTAAACTTATTTTTGATAAAAGGTTCCTCTATCATTTTTAACACCTAACATTCATAGAGCCATCAGTATATCCTAGAGAATTAAAAGGTCCCCCAGTAATAGAGCAGGACAAAAATTCCTTTTCTGTACAGCTATAAGCTAATTCAGATAATAGTATCTGATCTTCTAATGTTAGCCATCCGAGAATGCTGTTAACTATTAAAATTTTCATTCTACTGTACTTTATCTTTCCATTAAATTTATTTTCTTGCCTATAATCTTGGAAGTTCTTTTTTAGATCCGTGCTCTTGCTCTGTCACCTAGGCTATAGTGCAGTGGTGCCACCATAGCTCACCGCAGCCTTTAACTCCTGGGCTCAAGTGATCTCCCGCCTCAGCCTCCCAAGTAGTTAGGACTACAGTAATAAACCAGTGCCAGGCCTCTATAATGTTACACATGCATCAAAAGCATAAATTATCCCTATCACAAAGATCAGCTTGATGGCATTTAGGGAAATTTTTAGCACTAAACTCCCAAAACAACTACCCAGTGACAAGCTCCAGAGGTTTTAAACTTTTGGAACCAGTCTACACATCTGACAAGTCTTTATTAGGTGGTAGTAAGGTCTGTGAATCTCACCAGGTGGCTTCTCTTTGAATATAACTATCATGGTCTCATAAATAATTAGAATTCCAAACTAGAAATAACCCAAGACTTTATAACAAAATCAGCTCCTTTTACAGCATACTTTGCAGTGCAATTTGTGCTTGTAAATCTTTCTGGGCTATCTTGAGAAAAGACAAGTTATAAAACAGTACTGTTCCACTCTATACTCCAGTAAATCCAAAAGTTCCATCATCTACAATGAAAGACTAGTTTAATAAGAGCTGGGGCATTTTATACGTGGAAAAATATGACCAAGTTTAAGAGGGATAAATAAATACAATATAGATCTTTGAAATCTGACAGCTGTTTGTTCCATCCTGAGAAAACCCAGTTCACCTCATCTTCAAACAAATCTAACACCACAAATTCCTTACATTTAAAAATCACAATGTCAGTATTCATTCTTTCTGCTATTAATTTAAAATTGATGGCGATCACTTCAACAAATCCATTTAAATAAAGTGCTAGGGTAGACTATTGTCTGCTAGCTGGATGTAACTTTCTATTTTGTAACAATTAAATGAAAAATTCAGTTCCTCAGTAGCACTAGCCACATTTCAAGTGCTCTGTAGCCACAAGTGAGGACTGGCTGGTGCTAGAGTGTGCTATCCAGTGGATTTAAAAATATTTCCCCCCTCCAGTAACACAACTTTCTTTCATGTTTGTTAAGGGTGCTATGTGCTGAGTAAACAAAATAATACCACGCAATTTTAATATTTAATACTTTAAAAATTAATAATCAACGTTTCCGGAATATTTTGTTTCCAAACGTGTTATACTATCGCATCTCTCAGGGACATGTGTTCTTCAGATTAACAGGTGACAGGAAAAGAGACGCCTTTGCATGGTAAGCAGTCAGGGAGCTCATGAGACAGAGCAGCTCCTGGCAAAGGAGATGTGTCCCCGGCACACTCATTACTTGTAAGTACAGGAAAATTCTCAATTACGGCGTCCTGGCTGTCAATCATCTGCAAGTGGACCCCGCCTCCTCCGGCTCAGGGCGGTGATAGTCACCGTCCCGGCCCTCCGCCACTGCACTTCTTCAGAACGCCTCAGCCCTTTCCCGTCAGAGCCCCTCCCCTCCTCGCACCCCGCCAGCTCGGCAGCTGCTGCCTCGAGCGCGTCCAGAAGCAGAAACGTGTCCTCCGCGGGCTCGTACACGTCGCTGAAGGCGCCGCGGCCCACGTGCCCGTGGAACGGCGTAGGGAAGCGCTGGCTCGCCATAGTCCTTCACTGCGTTCTGCGCGCCTGCGCAGGACGCGCGCCTGCGCATCCCCTCAAGCGGCGGTCTGGGAGTGGGGCTGGAGTTCCGGGCGACCGGAGTGTTCTTCGGTCTTATATCTAAATTTGTCTGGGGACCTCCTTGAAATTTCTAAGTAGACAGTTGTGTAATCCGTAACTATTGACATTTACTTTCTCCTTTGGAACATTTAAATTTTATTCTGTTAACTAGAACCTGATAGTGGGCATTCTGAGTTGTTTTTGACTAAGGTAAATGTTCTTCATTCTACTAATATTTAGAAATTCTGTTTTACTCCTAATTTGCAAGGATTTGGAAAAAATACATAATAAATTTTACTTTTTTTTGTCAGCTGAACTTTAAGCTTTACGCTATAAAGATGAAGACTTTTCTCGTTTGATTTTTTTTACTGTACTTTATAAATTGCTTTCCTGATGAATCATGAATGCACTCTTTTTATAAACCTTAAGCAAGATGATGCGGTTTAATACACTGCTGAATTTGGGGGGCTAATAATCTGGCTCTGTTTTTTACCAAGATTACGCTACCCTCATTGTATGAGTTAGGACACTGTTTCTGGAACATTAGGTAGAAAACCTTAAAACTGGCTGGGCTTGGTGCCTTTTTGAGTAGATGGATCTTTGATGTTTTGAAACATTTATAAGTTATTAGACTGTTCAAGTACTTGCATTCTTTTTGAGTCGATTTCTGAAATTTGTTTCCCAACGAAACATTTTTACAGCTCTTTTTTTTAATTTGAAAAATAAAAATACAGAAAAGTATTTGACTTACAAATTTTATTTTATTTCTTTTTTTTTTTTTTTTTTTGGAGACAGAGTCTCGCTGTATCCCCCGGGCTGGAGGGCAGTGGCACGATCTAGGCTAAGTGCAACCTCTGCCTCCCAGGTTCAAGCGACTCTCCTGCCTCAGCCTCCGGAGTAGATGGGATTACAGGCACCTGCCGCCACGGCCGCCTAATCTGTATTTTCAGTAGAGACGGATTTTCCCCATGTTGGCCAGGCTGGTCTCAAACTGCTGACCTCAGGTGATCCACCCGCTTCAGGCTCCCAAAGTGCTGGGATTACAGGTGTGAGCCCGTAGCACACGTGGCTGGGTTACAAATTTAAAAACCCCAAGTTTTAAACCCAGAATTGACAGTATTTTCTCATGTTTCCTTAAAATATTTTTTACATACAAGAACTAAAATATTACAAATGAGATGGATGTTCTTTCTCTACTTACCTTCAGTTTAATTGTGTAGCCTTCTCTCCAAGGCTCTTACGGATTTAGTGTGTGTCCATCTAATCCATGTAAAAACACGGATCTTGCATTTATACGTTTATAAACATTCATATCTTTATAAGCAACATGTGGTGTGTTTTAAAATTTACATAACTGGTACTAGGTTGGCACATGTTTTTCAAATTTCTTTTTTCAGTCAACATATGAGATTTTATATTTTGATATATAAAGTTAGGTTACTCCTCTTAACTGCCATATAAGAATTTTACTTATATAAAAATATGAAATATATATATATAGAAAAGAGCGAGAAAGGAGAAGAGAGAGTTACTTGATCTCCTGGGTTCAAACGATCCTCCTGCCTCAGCCTCTTGAGTAGCTGGAACCATACGGCGCATGCCACCACTCCCAGCTTATTTTATTTTATTCGATTTTTGAGATGGAGTCTCACTCTGTTGCCCAGGCTGGAGTGCAGTGGCATGATCTCAACTCATTGCAACCTCCACCTTCCAGATTCAAGCGATTCTCCTACCTTAGCCTCCCGAGTAACTGGGATTACAGGCACGCGCTACCATGCCCTGCTAATTTTTGTATTTTTAGTAGAAATGGGGTTTCACCATGTTGGTCAGGCTGGTCTCGAACTCCTGACCTCAGGTGATCTGACAGCCTCGTCCTCCCAAAGTGCTGGGATTACAGGCATGAGCCACTGCGCTGAGCCATGATTAACTTCCTTATATATAGTTTCTCCTGATGTTGTACAAAAGTTTCCTGAGTGTCAACCTAGAAGTGGATGAGCTGGGTTTTAGTGTATGCAGATTTTCAGTATTTCTACAAACTCATTTTACTTATTTATACTCCTACCTCTTGATTGCAGATTTGATATTTAATATTATAAAACTTATTTTTGTTTATTTTAAATTGATCTCATAGCTAACTGATGTTGGGCACGTGTTCATTTGTTTCTTCCTTTGTAAATTATTCATTTTTGCTTATTTTACCTTAAGTTTTGCCTTTATTTTTTGTCAAAGTTGATACATAATATCATATACATAATATACATAATATACATAATAGGGCAAACAGTTCTACAAAATCTACTATGAAAAAGCAGTATTTTCTAGCACTCAACATCCAATTTCTCATGTCTCATTCTTCAGAGGGGACCACCTTCAACTTTTAGCTGTGTCTTTTGCCATTCATTTCCATATCTCTGTATACTAAGCTTATAATAATACTTCATTTTCAAACGTTAAGCATTATCTATCGAATTTCTATGACTGGAAGTAAGAATAATTCTCTTGTATCCAGTAGACCAATATGTTGCCAGTCTCCTCTCCCTTTCTTCACAATGTGATACCATGGTTTTCTAAAAAATTTCTCAGCTGGGCGCGGTGGCTCACACCTGTAATCCCAGCACTTTGGGAGGCAAAGGCAGGCGGATCACAAGGTCGGGAGATCGAGACCATCCTGGCTAACACGGTGAAAGTGCGTCTTTACTAAAAATACAAAAAAAATAGCCTGGCGTGGTGGTCGGCGCCTGTAGTCCCAGCTACTCAGGAGGCTGAGGCAGGAGAATGGCAGGAACCCGGGAGGCGGAGCTTGCAGTGAGTCGAGATCGCGCCACTGCACTCCAGCCTGGGTTGCGGAGTGAGACTCTGTCTCAAAAAAAAAAAAGAAAAAAAGAAAAAAAGAAAAAAAAAATTTCTCAGCCGGGCATGGTGGCTCACACCTGTAATCCCAGCACATTTGGAGTCCAAGGAGGATGGATCACTTAAGGTCAGAAATTAAAGACCTGTCTGGCCAACATGTTGAAACCCCGTCTCACTAAAAATACAAAAATTAGTCTGGTGTTGTGGTGGGTACCTGTAATCCCAGCTACAGCCTCAGGAGGCTGAGGCATGATAATTGCTTGAACCCAGGAGGTGGAGGTTGCAGTGAGCCAAGTTCACACCACTGCACTCCAGCCTGGATGACAGAGTGAGAAAAAAAAAAAAATTGTATTATTTTTAAAACATTATTTTGCCTATATAAATGCTACTGAAATCTGACCCGCATGTGTTACACCAGTTACGTTTGCTTTCTTGCACAACTTTTTGCATTTCCTTGAAGTTAATAATTATTAGTTTCTTGGGATGCCATAACAAATTATCACAAACTGGGTAAACAAATAAAGACATTTATTCCTGGTCCTATAGATTAGAAATCTGAAATCAAGGTGTTGGCCTGACCGTGCCCCTTGATGAAGAGAAGAATCCTTCCTTTCGTCTTCCAGCTTCTGGTGGTTGCCAGCAATCCTGGCCGCCTTTGGCTTGTGGCAGCGGAGCTCCCATCTCTGCCTTTATCTTTCTTTGGCCTTCCCCCCGGTGTCTTTGTGTCTCCAAGACTCTCTCTCCTTGTAAGGATCTCTCTCTCCTTGGTATCCTTACAAGCATTAGGGTGCAGTTAGGAGGCACCCTAATCCAGCAGCATCTCAACTTGATTACATCTGCAAAGACCGTACTATATTTAAGATCACATTCACAGTTTTGAGGGTGGTGGTGGTGGTGGTAGAGAAGGTGGTTAGGACTTCAAAATGTCTCTTCAGGAAATACAACTCAACCCACAATAATCTAGTAATAGCTACTTTTTCATTTGCTTAGTTTTCTAATATATCGCAAATCAGCCTCAAAGTCTCTTCCAATTGTTACCACCCCCTCTCCACCAATACATTTAAAGACATTGAGCGTTCTGATTATTTCTATCCAATTTACTTAGGCACCAAAACATGTCTCTGGTGTTTATTTCTTGGATTTACTTATTCTTTGCTGTTTTACCTTCAGGCTGGCTCTCCTTGTGGTAGCAAGATGGCTGCATCTTCATATCCTCACACCACTGAATTCAATGGAAGAGTCTTACCATTGCTTGCGAGAAGTCCTGCCATTTACTCTTTCTTACTGGCTCCAAATGAGTCATGTGCTCATGTGTGGATCAATCCTGTGGCTAAGGAGATGAAATGATCTGCCCCACTCAGGGCTGAGACTGAGGTCTCACTTTAGCTGCATCGACAGAATGGTGTTTCCAAGCAAAACTGTGTTACTGGTGTGGATGCCAGGCAATAAACAAACAATTTCTGCTGCATGGAAATTTCTCATGTAAGTATTGGTAATTATTTTCCTCCAGTGTGTTACTATCTTTTGGTTATATTTACAGTATTTTCCACCAGATATTAACAGTTTTTCAGATATTAACAGTTTTTCAGATATTAACCTTTTTTGGTGGAAATATTTATTCAATCTACTTTATTTTGTTTGTTTCTCATTCTTGTATTGTTCTTGAAATATCTTTCCTACTCTCTGCCATTGAAAAGAAAGTTTATTTTCTGGTTTCTGGTTTCAAAGTATAGACTTTAGTAATTGGGTTTACCTTATTACTTAGGTTTTTAGGTCTTCTAGAATCCTGTTTATTTTTGTATCTATTTGATCTTTATGGCCTGAATAAGGTGAATTAACTTTTTATAATAATTATAATAAAAGTCTTTTCATACTAGAGAGTTTGTCTACTTATATTTCTTGATAGATTTTGGTTTTTTAATTTCAATGCTATGCCAGTTGGAGTGATTGACACATGTTGACTGAAGATTATGCCTACTATGAAGTATCTGCCTTTGTGTTTGTATTGTATATTCAGTTTGCCTGAAATTAATTTGCTTGAAATTAAGGATACAATCTTGCCTTCTTTTTGTTTCCATTTTCCTAGTCTGCCTTTGTCTTTTTTTCACTGTCAGTCACACTTAAACTTTGAAACACACACACATTTTTCTTAGTGTTGCCATTGGTCAGCATCACATCTTCTCCTAATAAAGATAAAAATTCTGGCATGTTTTTATTTCTCTTTTTTTTCCAATGTCCCCTAACCCCCCCTTCCAGGTTGAGTTCATCTGAAAATTTTGGAGATGCTTATTAATTTTTGAAAACAACTAACTAATTTAATTTAACTACGTATGTTATTTTTTTTTTTTTTATTTTTTTAGAGATGGGGTCTTGCTATGTTGCCTAGGCTGGTCTCAAAGTCTTTGCCTCAACTGATTCTCCCCTCTCAGCCTCCCAAGTCTCCTGAATTATGGGCATGAGCCAATGCACCTGGCTTTTTAAAAATATATACATATTTTAATAGTTCTCTGATCCACAGTTTTATAGTATGCCATATTTTTTCTTATGACTTATATTGGTTTGGAATACATACTCTGCTAATTGTTTCTGAGAGTAATATCCCAAATGTCTTTATTTAAGTCCTCAACCTAAAAAACAGTTTTTGTGTATTAAGGATTCTAGGTTGAAAATAATATTCCCTCAGAACTTTGAAGGTAATTCTCCAGTGTCTTCCTAACATTCAGTGTTGCTATTGATGAGAAGACAAGATAGTTCCCTTGACCCCCTTTGTGGGCAGGAACTGGAATGGCTTGTTTCATTCAGCATGCTGCTGGCCACTCCTTGCAAGAGGGAGCATGCAAGCAAGTGGGTATGGGAACCGGAGGGAGT